AATTGATGGTTTTCCACAGCAGTATACTTTAATTCCCTTCACTTTATCTTGTGTTTATTATAGATTTTTATTTTGTGGTTATTTTGAGACTTGAACTATCTTATAGATATAACAGTCCATTTTAAGCTGATGTAACTTCAATCACATACAAAAATTCTACCCTTTTAGACCTCCTCCCCATGTCTTATGTTTCTGATGTTACAATTTATATCTTTTAATATTGTATAGCCATTAGCAAATTGAGCTATGTTTTGTACTTTTTCCCTTTAATCTTTCTATTAAAATAAAGTGGTTAACATATCACTGTATTACAGTATTAGAGTATTCTGAATTTGACTCTATGCTTACCTTTGCCAGTATATTGTATATTTTCATATATTTTCATGTTACTAATTAGCATACTTTTGTTTCAACTTAGAGCTTTTTTCTCTTCTTCTGGGACTCCAGTGAGGTGTATAGATTGTTTCTCTTAATGGTGTCCCAAAAGTGTGTAGGATTCCTTCATTCCTTTTCATTATTTTTATATATTTTTTTAATATACTTTTGCTCCTCTCGATAATTCCTAATGATCTTTCTTCATGCTCATTGATTCTTTCTCCTGCTTGGTCCAGTCTGCTGTTGAAGCTTGTTGTTGAATTCTTCAGTGCAGTCATTGTATTCTTCAGCTCCATATTTTCTGTGTTCTTTTTGTTTTCTATCTCTGTTGAACTTCTCATTTTGTTTTCATACTGCTTTTTTTTTATTTTGTTAGTTTTTATCTGTTTTCTCTTGTAGCTTTCCGAGTATCTTTAGAATAATTATTCTGAATTCTTTGTTGGGCAATTCATGTTATCTCCATTTCTTTGGGGTCAGTTACCAGAAGTTTACTGTGTTCTTTTGGTGGTATCATGTTTCCCTCATTCTTCATAGTCCCTGTAGCCTTGTGGAGGTGTCTGTGCATTTAAAGAAGCAGCCACTTCTTCCAGACTTTATGGACTGACTTTGGTAAGAAAGACCTTTACCTGTTGGTGGGGGCATACTGGAGCACTCTGTGATCCAGGGTCTAGTGGTGCAGGGCACAAGGGCAGGGGTGTGTGGTGGCTCTGGATACAGATGAACAATGTCTCACCAGCTCAAACCACTAGAATTCAGAGCATCAACAACTGGGTGGTCCACAGTGACTACAAGGGCTGTTGGGAGTTCTCAACAGTGACTCCAGGTCCAGTGGTGGCTGGACTCAGTGCTGTGAGCACAGTCAGCGAAGGGGACCAGCTACAGGTGCCCGTACAGTGGCAGGGGCCAGTTGTAGTTACATACATAGTGGTGGAGACCAGGCCAGCATCAAGGGACAGGGCCAGCTGTGTGTACACTGGCAGTTGCAGGGGCCCTGGCTGTTGGTGTGTACTCCTGTGGCTGCAGGATCTCACCTTGGGCATGTGTCCCACAGTGGGTGCCAATGACACTAGTCAGGCTGGCAGCACACAGGTAGCACCTAGCTACAAGCAAACCTAGCAGAGAAGGTGAAAAGCTGACAGGAGACAGGGCTGAAGTCAGGCCCATGAGCAGCTGCCAGGGCCCCAGTCATCAGTGTGCATACACCTGTGGCTGCAGGATCTTGCCATGAGTATGCACACAGCAATAGAGGCCAGTGACGGGGTCAGGAACAGGATGCAGTGGCACAGCTGGAAGGGATAGCCCAAGTGCATGCACCGTGGTAGGGGTCAGCCACAGGGGTCCACGTTGGCATCTGGCACTCACACAGCCACAGAGGCCTGGACTGGCAGCAGTGTGGAGCCAGGCTCTGGTGGGGACAGGGTGAGGGAGGGAGTGGGTAGCAACTCAGGCTGCTGGCATCCATCAACATGAACACTCATGGGGTGAAAACTGGTGAAATCTGCTGGGAGTCTGTGGCAGCTGTGCTGGCCATTGATTACTTCAGTGGTGAAAGGTGCTGAGGTAATCTGCAGAGCAGGCCCCTGGGAACTGTGGTGGTTCCTGCTGCATGGCTGACACTGGAAGCCCCTGCTCTTCTTCGTCGCTTCTGGCCATCTCTCTATGGCTCAACTTTATGGGTCTCTGAGCATGGTGAAACCAAATGGGTGCTGCATGCAGTGCCCCAAAAGGCTGGGGAAGCAGGTTGCTCACCTTTCCCTCCTTTTCCCAGTGAGGGGAGCTCTTTCTAGATGGGGAGTTGCCCCTAGGCCCCAAGCAGGGCCCACTCAGAGGATGGGATGATGCAGGCAAATTAAAGCTCTTCCTTCCTTCTCCTTCTTCTCATGTTTCTTGTTCCACTGTGCTGCTGAAGCTTAAGTGGACTCCTGAATTCTCGAGCTATTTTTGTTTGTGGAAAGCTGTTCAACTGTGGGTCTTTGTCAGGGGAGTGGAGGCTGGTATCTCCTACTTCACCATTTTGGTGACATCACTCCCAGGGATATCCTTAGCTTCTGCATCAGAGTCCCCAGAGAAGACCAAAGTCATGGTCACGCAATATATATGTTGGACATGTGTAAGGAGACTGGTGAAACCACATCCACAGTACAAGCGTGGATCAACTGTGTCTTACTTCCTGTATTCCTGATGCTTTGGCATCTGGGGCCTTGCTGATCTAGGAGCCACTGCCTGACCCAGGATTAGCTAATTCCTAGAGGTAGCAAAGCACTGCATCTGAGTGTGCTTTTGATATGCAAACCAATCTAGAGCCCACACCTGACCTCTGACCTCTTGAAGGTTAAACCATTATTCCACCCCCACCACCAGTCTTACCGATCACCCCAGGAGCAGGTGTCAGACAGCTAGGGACACCCCCTAAGCCTTAGAGCCCAGCAAAATGATTTGAACAAGCCAATCCTGAGCCTGCTTACCCTACCTTGCCTTGCCTTCCCTGCAGAAACCACGAGAGGCTCTTAACACATTTTGCTTTTGCTCCTGCTCATGACCAACCCTGACGCTTGCCCATGTGGCTCTGCGTGGCAACTGTGAATAGCAAACTATCGTTTTAGTGGCAGTCATTTGAGATCTGTGGCCTTGCCATACATGAGTGATAATAAATCCCGGCTAGTGCTCTGACTCAGGTTGTTTGGAGTCAGCTTCTTATCACACTGCCTCACAAATTATTTCCAAGCTGGCTTGCTTAGAGCATGAGGTGGGGAAACTGACTCTTTCCTCTGCTTTGCACATGGAGGGTTAACAGCAACATAATTAAGTGCTGCCCAAAGGGAAGTTATATATACTCCTGTTCTGAAAAGAACCAGGCAGGAAAGCTGCTAACAATAGGCATCTCTATCATAGTATCACTACTAAAGGTGCAGGCAACTTGCAGATCATTATTCTCTCCTGAGTGGCCCCCAAATATGGAGGAGAGAACTTTCCAGAAGGCTGGCGGCCTTCCTTAGATTTCATCAGAAGCTGCCTCTGTGAGCTCTGGCTCCCCATCAGCCACAAAAGAATACCAGGGAAATGGAAGTAGGGCTGGAACCAGAACAATATTCTTGCTGGTTCTTGCTAACCAGACTGCTTTGAGTCAGGACCATTGTTACAGCTGAGAGCCTGAGCCTGTGCAGCCTTGAGGGGCGCCCACCGAGTTGGCAAAACTGTCAGCAGGGCATGTGTGAGGGTTTGGCAGTGATGCAAGGTGAGGAGGGGTGGGTCTGGGGCTGTAAGAGCCCAGGCTGGCCAAAGAAAAGGCGGGAGTTTAAGGCTCGGACAGGTTTCTCTCTCTCAGTGGGAGTAAGCTCCTCTTTGTAAAATACCAGCACCCCCTAGTGGGGAGTAAGTCTCCACTCACACGCCAGGGTTCTTAACCTGGAGTTGCGGAACTTACAGGGTAAAAAATGTACGTCGTAATTTTTACTCACCTGCAACTGAGATGTACCATTTCCTTAAAAAATGAATGTAGGCAACAAGTCATAGTGCTATCAACACACACTGCCTGTGACTTGGACGCCAATGCAGTAACTGGTATTTTGTATCATGTTACAGTTGTTACAGATAATTTGAAATATTTACATTGATCACTACATCAAAATTATGCCAGCTATTGGATCTGCCACTGGATCATGTTATTTAGCACATTCATAAAGAAACACATATTACTAGATTTCCAATTTGTCTTTATTTATGTTAAAGATGGAATACAGTATAATTGTTTTTATACTTTGTGGTTCTATGCATTTTTATCTCATGCATTTAAAACATCATTCTGAAGTGGGACCCATAGGCTTCACTGGGTTGCCAAAGAAGCCCACAACATAAAAATGGTTAAGGGCTCCTGCTTTAGAAGGAGCTGGTTTAATCAGAACCTCTCTGCGGCTGGGCTAGAGGCTGCGGACCCATGGTGCAGCTATGGGATTCAGGACAGCCTGGATCAAGGGGAGCAGGAGCAGTGGTGCCCCTGCTGTTTTGCCTTAGACTGATGCATGGTAGACACAGTGCTTTCAGCCGAGACATCAACATTTCCAGTCTCCAAATCCTGCTGGTATTAGTGCACTAGGGTGCTGGTGGGGCTCCTCCCGGCGGCCAGCAAACACTGCCAATGAGGTTGCCAAGCAAAATATGATAAAATGGTGAGACAGGGTTGAATCTAACAGAACTAGGCAGAATTACCTTAAGGAGAGAAAATGACTTCCAGGTTTCAGAAGTGTATAGTACTGTTGTGAAGTCTGATGAAAAGAAAAAAGACCCCTACCTTCAAAGAATTTGAAAACCTTTTTTAATTGGGAAATGCCACATGCACTCACGAAAGGGCATATAGCATACATGCACAGCTTAATAAATAATTGCAAAGTGACCAAGAAATGAAATATTACTCTCTCTCTCTCACCAAGCCTGTCATGGCTTCTCTGGTCATAATTCTCTCTTTCATAGACGTCACCACTATCCCTATTTTTGTGGCTTTAATTTGCTGATTACTAATAAGATTGTGCATTTCTCATATGTTTATTAGCTATGCTTTTTTTTTTCAGTGAACGGCAAGTTCATGGCTTTTGCCCATTTTCTACTCAAATGTTTTCTTTAACTTGCTGATTTATAAGAATATCTTACACATTCTGGCTGTTAAGTGTCAGTTATATGTGTTGGAAATACATTTTCCAAGTTTGAGGCTTGTCTTTTCACTTTCTTTAAAATTAAAATTATTAATTTTAAGGTGGTTTAAATATTTAACCTTACTTTAGGATAACAACTTTTCTATCATGTTTACAAAGTCCTTCTTTAATCCATGGTCATAAAGATATTCTCCTATATTTTTCTTTCAAGTTTTAAAATTCTCTTTTTTATATTTAAGTGTTTAATCCATATGGGGAACTCTTCTACTTCCCAGGGGAATGTAGTAAGTAGTGGTAAGCATCTGTTACAATAATTAGAAACAACTGGATAATCACAGAAGTCATATTTTGACATATCAAGGAGCTGTGAAAGCAAAGAGAATTAGATTAACTAAATTTTCAGGAAAGTAAGAACTTTTGGGTGATCCAAGATCAACAACGTTTTTCTTCCAAAGGACATTTGTTGAATCCGGGTACACATTGGGGATCAGGCTTGTTATAGGGTTCAGAGAAATCAGCAGCGCCTTTAACAGTTGCTCGGCCTGGCAAGGTGGACTAGAATCTAGAGGGTCCTCAACCTGATTTTCCACATGGGTTATTTGCTGAGAGCTGCGATGATACGGAGGCTGAGAAGCTGGGTTGTGAAGGTAGCGTGAAGTCTCCTGCAGTCCTCTAGTGCTTTGATATCCAAATCTTGCTGTAGAAAGTTGGCATATAACAAACACATGACAGGTCTCACCATGGAGACACTAGAAAGCAGAAGTGGACTGAAAAGAACTAGTGCTGTGAACCATTCCTGGACTAGCTCATTCCTGACTGGACTGAGATGGTCAACCCCTCACTCTATGTGCCTAACAGAGGAAAGAGCAAACCCTCACTGGGAGAAAATAACATTGCCTTCAGTCTCCATGGTTCTTCTATAAACATCATCCATCATAGAAATTAATCAATAGAAATTAATGTGACAAATATAGACTCAGGAAAACAGGGCCAGTAATCTGGAGAAAAAAAACAAACAAACAGCAGGAGCAGACTTGCAGGTGATCCAGATGTTGAAGTAGGCAGACAAGGATGTTGAAATGACTACTATAAGCATATTAAAGGAAAGAGAGGAAAAGACAGACAAAATGGTTGAAAAGACAGAGAACTTCAAGGGAGAGTTAGATCTAAAAAGAATGAAGTGGATGTTCTAGAACTAAATGTGATATCTGAGATTAATAACTTATGGTTTTTAACAGCAGGAGACAGGATTGGTAAACTCAACAATTCAACAGAAAATGTACAACTCTAGCAGAGAAGAATAAAGATAGGCAAAGAAATAAAACCATCTTCATTCACAGAAACATGACGGTCTATGTAGACATCCCAAGGAATCTACAAAAAGTTACTAGCACTAATAAGCAAGTGTAGCAATGTTTCAGGATGTAAGATCAAATTTCAAAAATGAACTGTATCTCCACAGACTGGCAACAAATAATTGGAAATTAAAATTAAAAACAATATATTTTACAATAGCATCAAATAATATGAAATAACTAGTAACAAATCTGACATAAACATCAATGGTCTGCATACTGAAAACTACAAAATACTGCTGAGATAAATGAAAGAAAACCTAAATAAATGGAGGATGTCATGTTCATGGATCAAAAGACCCAATACTTATAAGATACCTATTCTGCCCAAATTGATCTATAGAGTCAATGAAATCCCAATTGAAATCTCACTGGGCATCATTTTGGTATAAACTGACAAAATTATTTTAAGATTTATCTGAAAATGCAAAGGACAGAGTATTTACATTATCTGATTTCATGACATTATAAAACTACAGTAATCAAAACAGAATGGTACTGGCATGCAGACATACAAATTGATCAATGAAACAGAATAGAGAGTCAAGAAATAGACCCACACATAAATGGCCAATTGATTTCTGACAAAGAGACAATTGTGCTAGAACAACTGGATTATTCATATATAAACAAAAACCAAAAAACCCCAGAACTTTGGATCCATACTTCACCAAAACAAATAAAATAGATCATAGTCCTAATTTAAAAACCCCAAACTTTAAAACTTCTAGAAGAAAAGGATAAAAATCTTTGTCATGTTAGGTTAACCACAGATTTCTTAGATATGACACCAAAAGCATAATTCTACAAAATAAAAAAAAATTAGTAAGTTGGACTACATCAAAATAAAACACTTGTACAGTGGAAGAAAATATTTGCAAATCACGTATCTGAAAAAGGAATTGTGTGTAGAATATATAAAGAACTCTCAAAACTCAGTAATAACAAACACACACTCCCAAATTGGAAAAAATATTTGGACATTTCACCAGAAATTTGATGAGCTTTCAGGCTGGTGAACACATGGAGGTACTGGGAGAGCGGTGCACCTGGAGAGGGTGTGGAAGCTCTGTGCACCCTTCCCACACACACTGTCCCTTGCATCTCTCCCATTTGACTATTACTGAGTTGTATCCTTTATAATAAACTGGTAAACATAAGTAAAGTGCCTTTCTGAATTTCGTAAACCTTTCTAGCAAATTATTGAACCTTACGAGGGAGTTGTGGGAACTTCCAGCTTGTGGCTAGTTGGTCAAAAGTACAGGAACCCTGGGACTTGTGACTGGTATATGAAGTGGGGGCCAACCTTACAGGGGCTGAGCCCTTAAGCTGTGATGTCTGTGTTAACTCCAGGTGGTTAGTGCCAGAACTGAACTCAATTATTGAAATTATTGAACAGCCAGTTGGTGTCCAGAGAATTGATTGTTGGTATTGGAAAACATTCTGTAAAGAAAAATAAAAAAGAGTACATAACTGTATTATTCCATTTATTTAAAATTTCAGAAAATGAAAGCTAATCTATAGTGACAGAAAGTACATCAGTGGTTCCTGGCAGCAATGTATAGGTGGGAAGAAGGGACTAAAAAGAGGCACAAAGAAACTTTTGGAAGTGATAGATATGTTCATTATCCTGATAATGAGGATGTATCTTTTTTTTATTACAGTGTCATTGACATACAATCTTATGTTGGTTTCAAACACACAACACAGTGATTCAACATTCACCCATATTATCAAGTCCTCACCCCCTCCAGTGCAGTCACTGTCCATCAATGTAGTAAGACACTACAGAATCATTAACTGTATTCTCCATGCTGTATTACCATCCCAGTGACCAACCTATATTGTGACTGTGAATTATTGTGCCCCTTAATCCCCTTCTCCCTCTCCCCCACCCCAACACTCTCCTTTGGCAACTACTAGACCCTTCTCAGTGTCTATGTGTCTACTGCTATTTTGTTCCTTCTGTTTTGCTTTGTTTTTATACTCCACAAATAAGTGAAATCATTTGGTATTTGTCTTTTTCTGCCTTATTTCTGGCTTATTTCACTGAGCATAATACCCTCTAGGTCCATCCATGTTGTTCCAAACAGGAGGATTTCTTTTCTTTTTATGGCTGAATAATATTCCATTGTGTATATGTACCACATCTTCTTTATCCATTCATCTACTGATGGACACTTAGGTTGCTTCCATCTTGGCTGTTGTAAATAGTGCTGTGATAAACATAGGTGTGCATATGTCTTTTCAAATCAGGGATCTTGTTTTCTTTGGGTAAATTCCTATGAATGGAATTACTGGGTCAAATAGTATTTATATTTTTAGTTTTCTGAGGAACCTCCATATTGCTTTCCACAATGGTTGCACCAATTTACATTCCTGATTGTGGGGATATGCCTTGGGATTGAATTGAGTCTTCATCTAATTTGGTGAGACATCATTCTCGTGGTTTCCTTTAATCCTTTAGGCATTCCTTCATGTGTCTGTACATATGTATCTTCATGCATTGGTGCATACAGCAAAACTGCTCAAATTATACTCTTTCTTTGTGCACTTTATTGTGGACTGTCTCACTTATACCTCAATAAAATCGTAAAACATTTTTTAATCCTATGAAGAAAACTTAGGCCCAAATGGTGTTACTGATAAATTCTTGCAAATACTTAAGAATGAATACCAATTTTACATAAATTAATTACACAGGATGTAGAAACACATTCTAACTCTTTTCATAAGGACAGTACATCCTGATCCTAAAAGCTGACAAAGACATTATAAGAAGAGACAATTACAGGACAATTTCCATCATGAATATAGGTGCAAAAGTTCTAAGTAGAATATTAGTAAATTAAGTCCAGCAATATATAAATAATGCATTATGATAACAGGGAGTGTTTTCCAGAATTACAGGATTGGTTTAATATTTAAAACTCAACATCATTCACCATATTAAAATGAAGGGGCAAAATCATATGATCATCCTAATAGATGCAGAAAAAAGCATTTGATAAAATTAAATACCTGTTCAGAGTAAAAACTCTCTACAAATTGAAAATTTTCCTTACTCACATAAAGCATAATCCATAGGCAGTTAATTTTGTGTTAATGTGTGAAGCAGTAAGGATTCTATTTAATTTTTTTATGGGTGATCATTTGTGCTCCCCCTTCCCCCAATGATCTGTAATGCCAGAAATCACACTTCCACATATATGTAGATCTGTTTCCATTGACCTATTTGTGTATACCCACCCCAATACCAATGCCATAGCTGTATAATATATTTTAATATCTTGTGAGGACATAACCCACCACCCCTCTGCCCACCCACTTATTCTCCTTCCTAAGGAATGTCTTGGATATTCTTAGTCCCTTGCTCTTCCCCTCCAGTTTAGAACACCTTAGCAAGTTCCAATTACAGCTCTGTTAGGATTTGTCTTGGGACTGAATTGAGTCTTCATCTAATTTGGTGAGACATCATTCTCATGGTTTCCTTTAATCCTTTAGGCATTTTTTTTTTTTTAGTTCTTTGAATACATTTATAATAGCTTAAAGTCTTTGTCTAGTGAATCCAACATTTGGGCTTCTTCTGGGAGTTTATATCAGCTGTTTAATTTCCTGTAGAGGGCCATTCTTAACTGTTTCTTTGAGTGTCATAATTTTTAGTTGAAAACAGGACATTTTAAGTCTGGTAGTGGAATTCATACCTGCACCCCAGATTGTTGTCGTTCTGCCACTGGTGCTGTTTAGTGACTTTCCTGGACTAATCTTGTAAAGTCTGTGTTACTTGGGCACAGCCAAGGAAGTTTGCTGGGTTAGCTTAGTGGTCAGCTGATGATTAGATGGGGCTCTCCTTAAATGTCTTAAACTAATAAGCATCCCATTCTTTGCCACGGGGCTGTGTGTGTGTGTGCTCAGTGCTCTGACAGTTTACAAATTGGCCTTAGTTTTCACTTCTGGCTTGAGCAGATCCTCAAGGTCAGTCAGAGGCAAAAGATAAGGGCTTTTTCAAGGCCTTCTTGGGCATGTACATGGCTCTGCACATGTGTATGACCTTCTAGACTGCCAGGAATATGTCTGAGCTTTTCAAAGCCCCCTATGGACAGCTCATTCCCCAGAGCTTCCTTTTAAGTTTTTTGGCCAGCCTTTTGGCTGCCCCAACATGCATTGCTGCTTCAGGCAGCTGTGCTGTTAAATAATTGCTGCTGATTGCTTTCAGCAAATGCCCTGGGAGTAGAGCAAACTCTGAGTCAGGTCAAATAAAAACAAGCCCTGCGAGTGGGGCTTTTCTAAGGAGCTGCCAGACAGGTCAAATAGCAACACTTTCAGGGGGTGGGGTACTTGGGGGTGCCCCAAACCCATTCTGCCTCCTTCAAAAACTGCAAGATTGCTGGTTTTCATGACTACTATGATTTCAAGGCTGCTGGTTTTCAAGTCTACCCTGGAGCTGGGAATGGGAGATAGGAACAGGGCAAGTTAAAAATGCCACAACACTGTTATTACTGAGGGCCAGACACTTTCTCAGATTTTCACAATCTGAGAATTAATTTTTGGTTAATTTCCAGTGTTCTGAAAAAGTTGATTTTGACAGTTTCATTTTGTTTTGGCCAGTGTTCCTATTGCTTTTATGGAAGAAAGTTTTGGAGATCTTTGTTATGTTGGAAGTGCTTCTCCAGGATTGTATGAAATCTTACAGATCAGTATGGAGAGAGCTGATACCTTTATAATACTTTTTTTCCATGAAAATGGGCTATCTTGCCAAATATTTAAGTCCTCTTAAATGTCTTTCAGTGAAGTTTTACAGTACTTTGCATACTGTCTTGCACATTTTGTATTTATTCTTGTTTATGTTGCTGTTGCAAATTTTTAAGAAAGATACGTCTTCTTGTTAATTGCTGGTGTATAGCAACAGAATCCATTTTTGTACAGTGATCCTATAGCCAAGGACCTTATTCTTATTTTTATTTATTTCTTCGTGCCTTCTTTTTAGTTTTCTATGTTGACTATCATACAGTCTGTGAATAATGACCTTTTTGACCTTGTTCTTCCTTTACGGTGCCTTCACACTGTGTTGTTGTTATCTAATGTTCTGGATAGGATCTCTAACACCATAGTGAATAGAAGTGATAATATTGCACATCTTTTTCTTGGGCCTGATTCTTTTTTGAAGCCAGATGTTTTTATTCCAAATTCACTGCTCTTGGCAACATCCCACAGCTCATTAACTGCTCTTTCAGAAACAGCTTTGAGATAAAATTCACACAGCAAACAACTCACCCACTGAAGTATACAATTAAATGGTTTTTAGTGTATTCAGAGTGGCATGACCATCAGTGCAATCAATATTTTCATCACCCCAAAAAGAAACCCCATACCCATCAGCAGTCACTCCTCATTTCCCCCAAACCACCTGACCCCTAAGCAACCATCAATTCGTTTTCTGTCTCTACGGATTTGCCTATTCTGCACATTTCATAATAAATGGAAGTATACAATAGGTGGTCTTTTATGTCTGGCTTTTTTTTGCTTAGAATAGGAAAGTGATGTCACCAAATGGCAACATAGGTCATCCCTGATTTCATTCCGCTTCACAATAGAACAACTAACATCTCCTCAAGAACAAAGCACCACTAGGAGAATCCTAGAACATGGTGGTAAGGCTGACACACCCCCTGTACCTCAGAGACCCAGACATACTTAGAATAAAGTTTTCAAGGTTCATCTATGTTGTAGCTTGTGTCTGATTTTAAAGAGGATGCTTCCAACATTTCCTCACTAAAACACTAAAACTTGTTTGCTTATTATAGGTATTTGGTAGAGACACTATTTCAGGTTAAGGAAATCCTATTCCTAGTTTTATAAGAGTTTTTTTTTCATAAATTGAGCGTTTTACCAAATGCTTTCTCAGCATCCAATCAAATAATTATGTGATGTCTCTTTTTACATTATTAATATGGTGAATGACACATAGAATTTTCTAATGTCAAAATACCCCTGCATTCCTGGGATAAACCCAAGTGGTTATAATGTATAATTTGTCTTGTCTGTCCAGTATTTCTGCATCTAGACTCACAAGTAAGATTGGCCTGTGATTTTCCTCCCTTGTACTATCTTTTGAGTTTGGATACCAAGGTTATGGTGCCCTCATTAAATGAGTTGGAGACTATTCCTTCTTCAATTGCCTGAAAGGGTAGGTACGTGATTGGAATGATCTGTTCCTTGGAAGTTTTCTAGAACTCACCTGTAAAACAGCCTAGGCCTGGAATTGCCTTTGTGAAAGCGTTTTCAATTGCTGCTTCATTGTTTTAATAAGTTATGGAATTGTAGGCATTCTTTTCTTCTTGAGTTGGTTTTATTAGGCTGCTTTTTTCTTGGAAAAAATATCCCCATTTCATCTAAGTTTTAAAATGTGTTAGCACAAAGTTATTCATCCTATTATATTATGATTTCCATAATCTCCAATATATCTCTTTTCATCTTTAACATTACTTGTGCTTTCTATAGCTTATCTATCTTGCCAGATATGTGTTTGTCTTTTCAAAAAACTGTGTTTTTGGCTGGACTGGATTTTCTCTGAATATTTGCCTTCTATTTCATTAAATTTGGCTTTTATTTTTATTATCTGCTTTTGGGAGGGGGGGGACTTTTCAATTGTCCTTTTTCTAACATCTTAAATTAGACACTTTGCTGGTTACTTTCAGCCTTTCTTCTTTTCTCAAATTACCATTTAAGAAACTATAAGTTTCCTTCTATCTACCACTTTTATTATATCCCACAATTTTTGACATGTAATATTTTCATTATCCTTCAGTTCTAAATACTTAAAACTTTTTTCCATCATGATTGTTTTTCTTAGACCCAGGGCTATTCAGAAGTGTGAAGTGTTATGGTAATTTAAAAGGTTTTTTTTGTTACTGACATCTGACTTAATGGCAGTGTGGTCCAGGAATGTAGTCTGTATGACATCAATTCTTTGAAATGTGTTAAGACTTGCTTTGTGGTCTTGCAAACGATTAATTCAATCACTGTTGCAAGTGTGCTTGGGAAGAATGTGATTTTTTCAATTACTGGGTGCAGGGTTCTATACCTATTCATCAAATCCAGTTTAATTGTATTTTGATCAAATTTCCTATAGGTTTGCTACATGTTATCTTTTAAAGGATTAGTAATTCAGAGAGGCTTGTTGAAAAGTCCCCCAATGATGGTTTATTTCTCAAATTTTCCATGTAGTTCTATTCATTATTGCCTTATGTATTTTTTTAGGTTTTAAAAATTAGTTGTGTCCAAGTTGAGATTCATTTTATCTGTTTGTGAGCAAAAACTGTATCACTAGACAATGACGATGTCTACCTCTAATAATACTTAGGTCTATTTTAATCTGAAATTAACCCAACTAATCACCTTTACTCTAGTTAGTATTTGCTTGGTATTTCTTTTTTCATCCTTTTATTTTCAGCCCTTTCATGTCTTCATACTTCAGATATACCTCTAAACTGCAAGTAATTGGATTTTATTTGTTTCATCCAATCCAACAATCTCCACTTGTTAATAGGCCACTTTATTTCCCTTAAGTCCCTATGATTATTGATATATTTTGGCTTGTTTCTACCATTTTAGGTTGGTTTCTATTTGTCCCACTTTTTCTGTTTTATTTATTTTTTCCTTTGTTGCTGTTTTTTGTTTGTTGTGTGTTTGTTTTTTTGTATGCTTGTTCATCTGGGAGATGTTACTTTATTGGTTTTCAGTTGGGCTTTGCATTAAATTGTTCGCTGTTAGATTTTATCCAGTACTTCTGTACTATTGAAAAGGGAGAAAATGTTTCCTTTATCAGTACTGTCTGCCATTTTAACTAGGTGCCTGTGCACGTATGTATATATACACACACACACACACTCATATACAAGAAAGTCTGTAAGAGTGATTCCCAGAAATGGAATCTCTAGGTCAAAAGTTATACACTTTAAAAAAAAAAGTTACATACTTTTTGAACTACATTTTAAACCTAATATTTCATGGACACCTTCCCATGTCATTAAGTATTTTTTATAATATTATTTTTAATTGCCCATAATATTTTACTATTACATACATTAAACATTTTTAACCATTAATGTCACTTACAATTTTTCACTGCTTATAATTATAAGCAAACTATTGGTTAATATTCTTGGCATACAAGAATGACTTATTTTTCTTTCAGATAAATTCCTAGAAGTAGAATTACTAGGTTAAAGGATACATGTATTTTAATGTTTCCATACACAATACCAAATTTATACTTAACAGTAACAGTTATGAGCATTTGGGGTCTCTAAATGTTTGAAAGCTCTGAGTAATATAATTTCTCTTATCTTTGACTTCTTGTTAGATCGATGTTTATATCTCATTGTTTTAATTTATATTTTTCCTTATAGTTGAACATTTTTCATATACTTATGGCTATTAGTTTATCTTTGGTGAATTGTCTACTTATCTGCTCAAATCACTTTTCTTTTGGGTATATAATTTTTTAATGTAAAGAGTATATTTTATATTAAGGATGGTATCTTTTATTATTTGTTTTCACCTTGCTCTGCCATTTACTTTTTAACTTAAACGTTTATGGTGATTTTTCATGTACAGGAGTTGTTTTACTTTTATATATTCAAGTCAGTCTTTTCCTTCTTAATTTCTGATTTTGGTATCATGCTTTAAATTGCCAGCTACAATTCCAACATTGTATACACATTTCCTTTTGTTCTTCTGGACTTCTCATTTTAATTTTTACATATGGATCTTTAATTAGTCAGGAATTTTTTGCGGTATAATATTTGAGGTAGAAACCACTTATTTTTTTTTCTCCTAATATATTGGTTGTCTTAGCCCATTTTTTGGATAATTGGTCCTATCATATATTAAATTCATCCAGATACTTGTGTTTGTTTCTGATAGATCGATTTGGCCCCAAACGATACTTTCTACATCAGTACTACAGCATCTTAACTCTTTGGCTTTATAGAATGTGTTCCTATCTCAGATGGCAACTCCTCCCTCATTACTAAACCTCTGAATAACTCTTCTGGCTAGTCTCATACTGTATTTCTCATGATAAGATGTAAACTCATGTTGTCAATCTTCTTCCTCTCTCCAACTCCCCTACATTTGAAACTGTATTACATTTATATATTCAACTGGGGAAGAATGGATATTTTTTATAATACCACTTTCTAATCCAAGAACATAAAATGTTTTTCCATTTATGCAAGCCTTCTTTTGTATCTCATATAAAGCTTACGGTTTTTAAAAATAACAGCTTTATTGAGATATAATTCACATATCATACAATTCATTCATTTAAAGTACAAATTAAATTATTTTTTAGTATCACTGTCAATTTTCGAACATTTTCACCTCCAAAAGTCCCATATCCATTTGCAGTCACTCCCCATTTTCCTCCAACCATCACAGCCCCAGGTAATGGCCAATCTTTTTGTCTCTACAGATTTGCCTATTCTGAACATGTCATATAAATGGAATCACAGTGTGTGGCCTTTTATGAATGGCTTATTTCATTTAGCATGTTTTCAAGTTCACACATTTTGTAACATGTATCAGTACCTCCTTTCTTTTTATGGCCAAATAACATTCCATTGTATGAAGATGCCGCATTTTATTTAACCATTCACCATTTGGTGGACATTTGGGGCTTTGCTACTTTTTGACTATTATGAACATTCATGTACAAATTTTTGTACGCACATATATTTTAACTTGTCTTGGGTACATAACCAGGAGTGGAATTGCCGGATCATAAGGTAGCTCTATGTTTAACGTTTTGAGGAACTGCCAGACTGTTTTTCCAAGCAGTCGTACCATTTTACATTCCCATCAGCAGTGTATGTATGAGGATTCCAAATTCTCTACATTCTTGTCAATATTTGTTATTATCTGTCTTTTGGATAATAGTGAGTGTGAGGTGCTATTTCACTGCGGTTTTGATTTGCATCTCCCTGATAGCTAATGATATTGATCATTTTTCACGTGCTTCTTGGCCTTTTGTATATATTCTTTGGAGAAATATCTATTCATACCTTTTGTCCATTTTCAGTTGGGTGGTCTTCTTGTTATTGAGTTATAGGAGTTCTTTGCATATTGTAGATTCAAATCCATTATTGTATATATGCTTTGTAAAATTTTTCTCCTATTTTGTGGGTTGCCTTTTGTTTCTTGATGGTGTCCTTGAAGCTTAAGTTTTAAGTTTTGATGATGTCCACTGTACCTTTTTCCTTTTAGATACTTTTGATGTCATATCTAAAAATCCATTGCCTAGTTCAAGGTCACGAAGATTTATACATATGTTTTCTTCTAAGAGTTTTGTAGTTTTAACTCTTACCTTTAGGTCTTGATCTATTTTGAGTTAATTTCTGTGTGCAGTGTGAGATAGGAACCCAATTTCATTCTTTTTCATGTGGATAGCCAACTGTTTCAGCATCGATTTTGAATAAACAACTTCCCCCACCCTCCTTGAACTGTCTTGGCATCCTTGTCCAAAATCAATTTGACTGTAGACAGGAGGGGTTATTTCTTGACTCTCAATTTTATTACCCTTATCTAGTGTCTATCTGTAGCTTTGTGGTAAATTTTGAAATCAGGGAGTTTTGAGTCCTCCAATTTTTTCTTTTTCAAGATTGTTTGGGTGTTCTGGGTCCCTTAAATTTCCTATTCCAAGGCATTTTTGTTGCTAGGATGAATGAGCTCAAATATTTTCTGTTTGGTCATTGCTGGTGTATAGAAAACTACAGAATTTCATATATTTATGTGTCTAGCTACTTTACTGAACTCTTTCATAAGTTCTAAACATTCCTCAGTCCATTAACTAGGGTTTCTCAGGTAGACAATCATATCTTCTGCAAATTATGATACTTACCTCTTCCTTTACAAATTTCTCTTATTTTTCTTCTCCTATTGTTTTTCCCTGAGTTGCAGAATTTTGTTGACACCATCCGCAGTGCAACATCTTTGTTTTGCTCCTTGTATTCATGAGTACCTTTGTTATTAAGGACTATTTTTGCTTCCTATTCCAGGTCATCACTAGGTATCATATTGTCTGTTGGATTGAGATAGATAAATTTATCATCTTGACAAAGTCTTTTTATTCCTAGTCACTAAGAGTTTTCATCAGGGTGCACCTTATTAGGTTAATTACATGGCTGCTCTCCCATGTCCTATTCATATGATGAACAACATTAATGAACTTTAAACACTGACCCTCCTTGCATAAACAAAGTGTCTCCTGAGTCAATGGGAACAAATTAGCTCACATTAGCAGAAATAACTCAGAGTTCTCTGGTGCAGCTCTCACCTGTATAATGTAGAACAGATGACGCAAACTGAAAGTCGATAGATCATGTCTGGTTTGGTCACATCTGCAAGGGGTTTTTAAATAGTTTTAAATTAGTTTCCAGCATTGAAAAATCAGGAGATTTCAGATTATTTCACTTCAGTTCCTCTTCAAGAATTATAAATCTGACCACAATAGTCCTTTATCCCTACACAACCACAGTAGGCTGAGCTGGGCCCGTGGAGCGGGGAAGAGCGGGGTGCTTCTTTAGAGGTCTCTTCATTTGCATCCCTTCCACACCCTGCTGTCTCCATACCCTGTTGTTTCCCAGACATCAAGGTCAAGGATCAGTTGCCAGTTTTTAAATCTGTGCAACTGTTTTTCTTATAGTGGAATTAGGTGAAAGTGAAGTGTTTCTAGTAATCATGTCTCTAACAAATGTGGAAAAAAATAAAAGAGGCCGAAAGGGCTACATGCTTCAAGAGAAATGGGAGCAAGCATGTATCTTGGTGGAAGTGAAGAATGTTCCTAAGTGTTTAAGGTGCAAAGTTGAAAGAATTCAATGTAAGATGCCACCAGAAAAGAAATCATAAGAATATGGAAAAGCTGTGTGGGGAAAGAAACCCTTATTGAACTGGAAAAAAGAAAAGGACTGAAATTGCAACAGGGTTTGTTTAAGGAGGCAGAGAGTATAAATGTTGCTATGAAATGTCATAATACAGCAAATGAACACCATCTCGCCAGTTCTGTCCACGAATTTAATGTTTGGCTCTTAGACACATTTGAGTTTCTGACCCCTGCTCCAGGCTTCCAGCCACTTCAAAGTTTCCTTCACAGTGTCCTTTCTCTCCCACCTTCTCACCCACTTATTCTGCTCTGTGCCCCAAGTGGTGTCACCCCTTTGTTTCTGCCTGGACTCTTTCCCCATCAGGTTCACATACTAACCTATAAGGCCAACCTGAGACAGCAGGTACGCCCCCATCAGCAGCAACACCAAAGGACTGTCTGGGAGGGGAGGGGTCTTTTCTCTGGTCCGGGATCCAATGCAGAATCCCTCATTACATTTCAGGGCTGTGTGATCACCTGTGACAGTCCCTCAGTCTCTGTGTTTCCTTGACCTTCACACTGTGGAGATTTTATAGACAATCTCTCAGTTTGGGTTAGCCTGATGTTTTCTCAGAATTAGGAAAGAAGGCATTTTTGACAAGAGTGCCACAGAAAAAATGTCATCATTTCTCAGTGCATGAAATCAAGAGGTAAATGATGTCACTACGCCTCACTCTGATCTTACTGTTAACTTTTTTCACTTGGTTAAGGTAGAGTCGCCGGGTGTCTCCACTGTAAAGTCACTACTTTTCCCTTTGTAACTAGTATCTTGGTGGGAAGCTTCTGTATGTAAGTCTAAGCCAATATCCCATTCATCACACCTTTGCCCACCACATTTAGCATCCATTGATAATTCTTGTCTGTAAAAATTATTACTGTGATGTTTACCAAATGGTAATTTTCTAATTCCATCACTCTTTCACTATTTAGTCATTGGAATTCTATCATTAAAGAAGGGGTGTCTCTTTTCCATTTATTCAATTTTAATGTCAGTATGGACTCATGGATATTTCTTTTATTTTATAGGCTATAATCCATAACTATTATTATGTATTATACTGGATTTGGTCATTGGGAGCCCCTTCAAGTTGGTTCTTGTGTTCTTTTGACAAGTATCAATCTTTTTTTTGAACACTTCATTATTTCCCAGTACCACAAGATGTTCTAGATTCACCTTATCCTTTTAAATGGCCATTTTAATCAGTTCTTGTTCAGTTGACCATTTCTCCAGGGAGTCCTGGTTCCTTTTTATTTCCTGGGTCCTTTTCACCAAGATGTGGGAGCTAGGTGTCCTCATTGCTACTGAGATGTCATTACTTCCTGCTCAGAAGACAGGGCTAGGAAATATACAATCATTGGTATATGTGTATCTATGTACCTATGTACGTATGTATTTATGTATCTTTCTATTAAAAACCATGTGCACACATTAACACCCCAATTCCAGCCTAACACCACAAGATTCATTCTAGCCTCCCATATTTCCTTATTTGTAATTTCTTTCACCAACAGTGGGAAACCTGGCTGTCATTATTTACAGTATATTTACTCACTTGTTCAGTTTTAGTACATCTATATAAAGAGTTTCAGAATTGCTAACCCACACCCCTGTGAGAAACAGATTCACTAACTAGAGTACAGTGTATGTGTCTGATTCTTTTTTGTCAAAAGACAGTTTTGCTAACTAGATTAGTTCATTTTGTATCCATCCTCAGTATGGTTATCCATTAATTCTAAAAAGGGTTAGGCTATTCATTACCGATTGTATTCCATTTGGGGTTCCCATCACATCCTGATTTATTTTGTTTACTTATTCTCAAGAACAGGGATGTATGTAATATTATCATGGTTCTGAAAGTCAGAACTATACAAAAAAGCCTACTCAGATAATTGCTCTTTCTCTCCCTCCCTTCTATCCTCCATCCCTGTTCCCCCATTCTTCCTGCATCATTTCCACCCACACTGTGGTAACCAATCTTACTAATTTCTCATTTATTCTTCTTGTGCTGCTTTTGGCACAGATGAGCAGGTATATCCATTATTTTCTTATATCCACTTCCTTCTCACATGAGAGCTGGCGCACATTCTTCCCTTTACTGCAGTATTTTTTTTTCAAATCAGAGTACAATTCTGTCCTTTGAAGTCTGATAGAAGTCACCATGTAGCTAGCAGGGCCTGGAGCCTCTCAAAAGAGAATTTCTTTGCTAATTTACAACATTTTATGGTTATGAGACTATTTGGATGCCTTTTAAAAGTCCACTTTTTGGTAATTTATATTTTATTGGAAAATTTAGCATTTTGAGAAGATGCAAATCTTTCTTCAGCTCACAAAAAACAGCCACATATCTTACATTTTCCTTCTCCTTGTGGAATGCCTATTATACATATATTACATCTCTATACTCTAAAGTCACAGTTCGTCTTATTTTTCTCATAGGCTTCATCATTTATCTTTTATCCTCTGAATTTTAGGATACATTCTCAAGGTTTTAATTCAATATTCAGCCTTCTTCAGTGCCCATTCTGCTGTCTGTTGTCTCTACTGATTTTAAATTTGGTGATTCAAAAACGTTTCCTAATCTCAGCTTGAACTTTTTATAATGACTCAGTCTACTACATTTATAAATGCAATATCCTCCCAAATATCATTGAGAACACTTATGAGTAATGCTTCAAAAATTTTTTTTCTATGGAAATTTAGTTTCAAGGGATACTCATTTTCTCTGACCACATCCTTCCCTTTCTTTTGAAATTCTGAATTTTTTTTGTGTTTTCATAGTTTGACTTTTCTGTTTGCTCATGTGCCAGAGGGAGTCTATATTTATCCAGTAATAGCAATTGCGGTGGTTCTGCTGATCATCATGAATACACAGTAATAATGAATCAGGTCAGCAAGTGGGGAGGAGCATTCCAAGCAGAGGAATCAGAGTGAGGAAGGGCATGGAGATATGAAAGCCCACCACAGCCTTTCTTTTCCCACATGTTCTATGAATTAATAAAATTTACAAAGAGTGAAATATGCAACTTTTAAGTGAACATCTCAATAACTTTTTCGTATGTACACATCATGTGACCACCACTTGCATCAAGATAGAAAACCATACCTATTACCCCAGAAAGTTTACTTATATCCTCTTTCCAGTTAAATTGCTCCATTCTCCCAAGATAACCATTCTGATGCCTATCACCATAGATTAGTTTGCTGGTTTCTGAACTTTATATAAATGGAATACATGTATATTTTCTTTGGGGTCCAGCTTCTTTTGCTCAATGTAAGATTTGTGAAATTCATCCATGTTGACACATGTATCAGTAATTTCTTCCTTTCTTGTGCTGAGTAGCATTCCATTATATGAATATACCACAGTTGTTTTTATTCTTTCTACTATTAATAGATATTTGGGTTCTTCCCAATTTGGGGCTATTATGAGTAAAGCTGGGCACTGGCCCCACTCTTAAAAGTGGGCTGGGGGCAGGACCTGCTTGAGTTCAAGGCCTCATATATATGTGTTCATACACGTGTCATTCATATGTATGTTTTGGTGTGGACATACAGATTCATTTACCTTGGATATATACCTGAGTGGAATTGCTAGGTCAGTGGTAGATGTATATTTAATTTTATTAGATTCTACTAATCAGAGTTCCAAAGTAGTCGTGTCATTTCACACTGCTACAAGCAGTATATGAGAGTTCCAGTTGCTCCACATCCTTGCCAACATTTGGTGTCCATCTTAATTGTAGCTATTCTAATTGCTGTAAAGTGGTAACTCATGGTTTTAATTTGCCTTTTCCCAACAACTAACGATGTTGAGGCCATTTTGATGTGCTTAACAGATGTTTCCATGTCTTCTTTTTTGAGCTGTCTGTTCAAATCTTTTGCCCATTTTAAAGTTGGATTGTTTGGTTTTTATTTTTGAGTTGTAGGGGTTCTTTACATATTCTGGATATGTTACCTGAATAGCAAGGTTTCTAGCATTGAAACTGGGTGGATAGTAAAGATGTTAACTGAGACAGCGAAGGCAGGGAAGGAGCTTGAGGAAAGATGAGGAATTTACTTAAGGACATGACGTGATTAAATTGTCTTCAGGTTACCCAGGAATCAATGTGCTGTATGCACTCAGAATTCTAGACCTGGAGCTCCAGAGAGAAATCTGAGTTATAGATTTGGGAGGGATATGAATGATGGGAATGGCTGAGATTGTCCAAGGAGAAGAGAAGAGAAGCAGCCTCAAATAAAACCTCATGCATGTTGTGGATAAAATGAGAGTTCCTGTGGCTAGGATTCTCACTTGGCCCTGGTTGACTAGCTCACTGCATACCTGTGGGCAATACATGGCTGTTGACTCTATATAAAGAGCTCGGCCCAGTGCTTTGGGTGTGACACAGTGGCAGGGCTGCAAGGCTGCAGGAGAGCAGAGCAGAGGCTGGAGTGGTGGCAGCGCCGAGGACAGAGGACCAGAGGACGGCTGTGCAGGACGGCTGTGTTGAGAGGCCCAGAGGACCGATGTGGGACAGCTGTGCAGACAGAGGGGCCCAGAGGCAGAGACTGGCTTGCTGCATGCAGACTCGTTCTGAGTCAATGGGATTCTAGTGACTGACCTGCCACCTGGAAATAAAGTTGGGTATAACCCTTTCACCCCAAAGAGCATTCTGCTGTGAATTTTCTTTGGTCACACTGAATCAATAGCGAACTTGCCCAGGGCTGAAACCCATTGGCAAGACACATGTCAATGTTTCATAAATTATAAAGAAAATGAAGCCAGAGAAAGAAAACAGAAATGTTGGTGAGGAGTGGAAGAGGAGTACATAAGGGGTTCAATTCTCAAGGAGTGGGGTAGCATCAAATGCTGCAGTGAGGTAAGAAAATGAAGCCACTGGATTTGGCATTTTGGTTTCCTTGGTGACTTTTTCAGAGCAGTGAGGAATGTAAGGTGAGAAAGTGGAGCCAGGGGTAGACTCCTCTTTGAAAACCTAAGGCAGTGAAAGGAGAGAGATTACACATAGACATATTTTTCAATGAGGCAAAAACAGAGTTGTACAAAATGGTATATAAATCCGTTGCTATGTGACAGAGGCATTCTGAATCCATTCAGTTGCTTTGGGGAGATGGGAGTGAAAGGTGGAAGCAAGCCCTGGGGTGGCTGTAGTTCTAACTTCTGGCCAATAGGTGTCAGGCGCGGATCAGATCTCCCGGTTAGTGGTTGGTGGTCTGTCCTGCAGGGACGGGGAGACCCAGGTGGAGCTGAGTGACGGGTGGGATAACACGCCAATTCAACATCGGGCCACACTTGCTGGTGGAGAAGAGAATGCCCCCTCTGACGGAGCGTAGGATGGGACTAGGTGGGTCCCATGGGGTGCTCAGCTCCTTGGTAGTGGCCTTTAACAGCAACTCTGCTTCAGCTTTCCTGCATCTTCAGTGTTAGGAATAACCATGGGCATGGAAGTCAGGGATGTCAGAACTTCTTTACCGTTTTCTTCAGTTTTCAAAGTGATCTCATAATCCAACATGTTCATCTGGTACACACCATGTCATTCTTGCTACTCAATTCCTGATTCCAGAGCAGATAGTTCTGCCTCTTCCTCCCTAACCTGGACACCTCCAGGCAGATCTTCTTCCCCCTTCTTCTTTTTGTGGGGAAAAAAGTAGGGACTGAGGAGACCAGGGTCCTTGATTGCCCTTATCAAGTCCTATGACCTTATGCATGTTCTCTCCCGTCTTTCCTGGCTCTGATTCCTTATTTGTAAAATGGTGGCATGTGGGGGTTCCAAGGAGGATGAGGAGTGGTTAAAGTACTAGATGGGTTCTGAGCGCCTTTCCATCTCTAATACAGGCTGGAAGCAGGCCTCCGTGTTTACCCAAGGGTATTTTCTGTTTCTCTGCATTTGAGGAAGTTGCTTCTTCTTGGTATTTAGGGAGTCAGGATAAGAAAGGTCATTGGTGTTCCCATCTCTCAAAGCCTCAGGTAGGGCTGTGGCTTTTGACCAACAATAACGTACGACTCTGTAGCCAATTCTGAACGCCTGTAACAGATGCTGAGCCACAGAGTCCCGTTCAGTAGTGGCAGTGGAAATTCCAGCCTTGTCCCTTGTTAACTCTGAAATAAAGTGCCGTTCTTTCATTGCTGGCACAGTAGCCAACCTCCTTCTCCCCAGTTTGTAAATGAGGAAACTGAGGCACCAGTAAGTGCAGTGTCCCCCCGGGGGGACTCCATGGAGTTCTTCAACCCTTAGTATACAATCTCCCACGTCGTCTGAGGGGAGAAAGGGGAAGGCAAGGGGAGGGCCTTGAGTGTGGAGACCAGCCTTCCCCCTTCAAGAGCTGAGAAATGGCTGAAGTGACAGTCACGGGTGAAGGAAGGTGGGAAAGTCAGACCAGAAGCTGGAGATGCTGTGCTCAAAGTCTGAGTTGCCTCGTGTTTCTAGGAAGGTTTCTGCGCAAGGGGCAGAGTCCAGGCGCCCATCAGCACAGCAGGCGTGCAGGCATTTTAAAGGTTAACGGCACCCAAAGAAAATAGAAGTAGTAGGAGGAAGTGGGGCGCTGGGTCGCAGTGAGAGAAGGAAGCGGCTCGTCGGAGCTTCCCCTTTCTCCACCTTCCCCGAAGCCCCCACCCCAGCCTCACTCCCACTCCGCCCTCCCCTTCTGCGGAGCCAAAGCAGCGCTTCCGCTCCCCTGGACAGACCGCACCTTACTCCTGGGGCTTCGCTGGTGCTCGGCACTGCCGTCCCTCCGGCCGTGGCCGCCCACCCGCCGTGGCCTGTTCCTTCCGAGGGCAGACGGGCTCAGGGCTGGGGGCTGCTCCTCACGCGCTCTGCGCGGACCCGCGTTCCTGGGAGGATGCGTGGGCCGGGCTGCCACCTCGCCGGGCCGCCAGGTGGCGTGAGAGGCCGGCTGGGCCGCCAACCGCCCCCGGGCCCCGCCCCCAAGAAGGCCCCGCCCCTGGCGTGGCCCCGCCCCAAGCCCGCCGTCGGAGCGCAGTCTGGGTAGATGCTGGGACTTGCCGCGCGGTCCCAGCCGGGAGTGGTGGTCCTGACCGAACCTCTAGTCGCAGGGAGTCGCCGCTGGACAGGGGCTCGGCGCCCGGCGGGGACTGCAGGTGTGTGGCTGGGCGGCCGGGGCGGGCACCGAGGGCACGTGTGGGCGCTCAAGGCAGAGCAGGAGCAGCCCGGGGACCGTCGGGGCGCAATGTGCTCTGAGAGCAGCGGCTGCAGCCGTAGGCTGGACAGATCCTGCGATCTTCCGGCTCCGTGGAGAGGGTCCACACCGATGTTCCCATTAATCCCAGAGACAGAAGGGGCTTACAGGGGACTGTCCATCGTTATCTAGGAAGCACTGTTGGGTGCCTGTGCGGTCTGAGCGTGGCCGCAGCCTCCTGCCTCCTTCACAGGCCGGCCTGTGTTGGGCCATGGAGTGTGCGCCCGTCTGCCTGGGATGGCTGACTGTGAGCATTGGCATCAAGGGTCCTTTGCCATCAGGACCCATAAGTTTGGAAGTGCCTGCCTCAGCCCTGCCCCTGCTAGCGAGCGTGGGCTTCCAGACAGCGGCTGCCCTTCTAGAGAACCTCACGCGTGGCGCTGTCAGAGGATCCGTGTTTACAACTGGGGTGCCCCTGCGTGACTGTGTGCGCGTGCGCATGCGAGCTGCCCATCCCGGCCCCGGGTAAATAAGCAAGCTCAGGTCAGTAGGAGGAAGGAGATTGTTCAGAGGGAAAAGGAAGGCAAGATGAAAGCAGCAGGATGTGGTATCAAGTGAGTTAACAAGCCTTCGTGCGGAGAGGAGCGGTGGGTTTAGGCCAAATGAGGGCTAAAAGTAGGCCAGGTTGCCTGGGAGGTCCCTTCTGGATTGCCCTTTTCTTCCTGCCTGGTCGCTGTATCTTCTCATCCACACTTTCCTTCTTTCTGGCCTGGGACCAGCTGGTAGAGCACTGGTTCCCAGAGCCTGTTAAAACACACCTATCCGGGCCTTAGGCCTACAGCACAGGGTTCCAGGGATGGGGTCTGGAATCTGTATTTTCCTAAAATTGGAATAAGGTCTTTAGGTGAGGACATTGTTGCTTGGGAACCCTGTGTGATGCAGAAAGGGGACCTGAGCTCCAGCCAGGCCCAGCTGGGTGACCTTGAGCATCTTACTGCCCTTCTCTCAGCCTGTTTCCCTATCTGTAAAATGGGCTCTTGCAGCAACCTAACAAGGCTGTGGGAAAATTAAATGAGAAAAGTGTGATGAGAGCAGCTGCACAAGGGACCTGCTCCTTGGGTGTTTGCAGAACAGAGAGTGGGCATCAGGGGCTTCCCTGCTTCCTCAGAGTGGCCATGGTGGGTCCAGGGAGACAAATAAGACAGTTTGGAATGGTCAAGCTCTCTCTTCCCACTTCAGAATACCCTCCCTCGCTTTGGAAGCATGACTAGCCAGGACTGGAGGACAGGAAGGCTCAGGGTGTTTGTATGCTGAGCCTCACTGGGGTTTTAAGAACCACCTCCCACCCCCATCTCCAGCTTAGGTGGGGGATGATTAATTACCTCCTCTCCCCAGGCTGTAATGGAAGCCGACCCCCTCTGCCTCCCTAGCCAGCCCTTCCTTCCTCCCATGCACCCCTTTTTGTTTCTTTGGAGAAAAATTGAGTGGAAGCTTACTGGTGATACTGGATGAAAAGCATGTTGGGCTTCCTGGAGGGGTAATGATGAGAGGACTCCTCAGTGGAGGCTGTGGAGGAGGCTGCCTGTTGGGGTCTGCTCCACTGCCCCAGGGTAGTCATTGATCACAGACCACATGGCTGAGAAGTGGCAGGCAGGAAAGCCAGTAGCCTTTATGTCTGGGCAGCCTAGACTTGGAGGCCGCAGCTTGGCTTCAGCTGAGCACTCAAGCTGTGCTGACTTAGCCTTCATTCAAAAAGGCTTACCCAAAGAGAATAAGCTGGCCAGCCTGTGGGACCCCTGTCCACCATAAGGCTTTATGGGCTCAGCTGTGGGTGGATGGAAGCCTGGATCAACTTCTTAAGAGAGGAAGCTTCTGGAGGTTGCAGGAGTGATCACCAGCAGCTCAAGGGAGAGGTGTTGAGTTTGATTTTTGAGCCGCTGGCATAGATGCGAGAGAACAAAGAGAAGACTACATCTGACTTCTGCCCAGAGGGAAGACAGGACACTCCCATAGCAGACATATGTTACATAGTAGGATAGTCCATCAATTTGAATATGTACGTATTTTCACATTCTAACAACTCTGAAGTCAAGTGTGCCTTCCAGTCTTCGGCGTCGTACCATTAGAATAGTCAGCAATATTTCTTTGTGAGTGGCACAAAAAGTAGTGGTGCATCTTACAATTGATCACATCTTAGGTTCTGTTAAATATGAGGTATGTTTTACAAATTCGGGGAGGATGCTCTAGATGTACTCAGGTACACTCAGAATTATGTCATTCCCATGAGTGAACTTGCATACATTAATTTTGCCAGTGGCTCTGCTAAACATCAACACTTTTCACTGCATCCAGTTTAAAAGGAAACGTCTTCATAAAATGTGTTACTTGCCTTAATTAATAACAGTACTTTGTGTATGACTTCATAAGTTCTTGAAAATATCAAATAGCTCTACCTGCCTTCTTTTTTGTACATTGAGCCTGCCCAGAACAAAATTTCTGCTGTTACTTCTTTTTTCCCTTTTTCCCCTTAGCTATACTCTGAGCCACACTCTGAAGTGGCTACAATGATTGTCTGCATTTGATTCAGGAGGGAACTGAGGGTCCAGGCTGCACAGCTAGGAAGTGCCAGGGCTGGGCTGACTTTGCTATCTGCTTTTGACCAGAGATGACCAAGCCTAAGGAGCAGCCTGCGTGTGCCTGTGGTATGAAGTGTGACTTTGGGGGCATGAATTGTGACAGTCCACACACCTTTTCTGTTTGCTACCAGGCTAGCAGCTGCATTTTGAATAGTTGGGGCTATCAATTAAGTCACTTCTGGATAAATGAGCTCCATCTGTAGCAAGGGTCACCCAATGGGTGGGTGCTGATGAATGGGAAGAAGTGGTGACTGGAGACACAGAGGACTCTGGGTCCTTCTTGAGTCTTCCAACTGGGGTACTAGGCTTTGAGCTTTGGAGTTTGGCCTCAGTGGAAGAAGCCTGCTTCCAGCCCCAAGCCTTCCCCAGTTCCCAGCCCAGCCTCTCTCCAGTCCTACATTGCCCTCTGGAAAAGGCCTGTGCCCCTTACCATGGCTCACAAGGCCTCCCATCACCCAGCCCAGATCTGCCCTGCCTGCTTCATCTGCTGAAGCTTGGGCAAACCTCTGTCCCTTTGCACATGCCATTCCTTCTCCCTACATCACCCTTTCCTTCCTCCACTTGTCTGGTGGACTGTGAATTCATCCTTGGATGCCCTGCTCAGACCTCATAGTCTTTGAAGTCTTCCCAAACCCCCTCCTCACTCCACAGCACTGACCACCCCCTCCTTATGTCCTCCCCATGCCTTTTATGTCCTCCCACCAGAGCGCTGACCACTCTGGCCTACAGGGTCTGACCAGGGACTTGGTGGCTGGTTCACCAGGGCCACCTGATGCTCAGTGCAGCTGTTAAGCTGTCACCCTGAAACTCCCCAGGATCTCACAGGCAAGAAGTCCGTGCACACCAACAGTGGAAGCTGCCCAGAAGCGGGTGGTGTGGAGGGCTGGAGGGTGGGGTCAGGAGGGAGTGGTGTGCTTTTCATTTTCGTGTCCTCCAGAGTCTTCTTGTTGCTGTTGTTGATGTAGGCAAATGAGTGTGTGTGGTTTCCTTGTGGGGGGCAGGGCTGGGGTGTGAGGGCTGAAGGTGGCTCCCATGGAGCCAGGGGCCTTTTTCTGCCTGCCTTGGCCCTGTGACCTTGGGTAGATCTCTGGGTGTCAGCTTCCCATATGTATGGATGTGTGCGCTAGATGCTTCCTGTGGCCCCTTCCTTACCTGCCACGTGTCATCCGTGGGCTCAGCGCTTCTGCATGAAACACCTTCTGTGTACCAGGTGTGTGCTGTGCTGTATGGATCCTGAGCAAGACAGTCTAGTGGGCAAGACACTGAATACAAGTATCATTTAACTGCAACTGTCAGACTTAACGGTGTCCTGTGAGATTATGTAAAGGGAGCCCAATAGAGTTTGGGGGTTAAGGAAAGCTTTCCCTGGAGAAGTCATATCCAAGTCGAGACTAGAGAGATACAAAATAGAAGAGCCATGCTCATAGCCATCCCTGCCATTTGGTGAATGTGAGCTAAGCGCTGTCTGGGTACATCCTTTCAGGTACCCAGCAGCTGTGGGCATGTGGGCTTCCTCCCCTGTGAGAATGGGGTGATATAACTGCTCGCAAGCACCTCACCCAGGGTCTGGCATACATGAGGGGCTAATTTACTGAGCCCTTCCTCCTCCTTCCTCGCCCGTTCCCCATACCCCGAGGTCCAGCTCAACAACTTTAAGGCCATCAATTACTGTTGTGGGGCCCCACCCTCTTCCTTTTCACTGATCATCACCAGAAGGTCCATTGCTGCCACTGCGGGCTCCTTGCAAGAGTCCTCCGCCTTTGTGCTTCCTCTCGGCCATCAACAGTGAAGGGAGTGCCTGTTCACAGACACCCACTGCAGCTGTGCCGGGCCTGCGTTCTCTCTGCAGCTGCTGTTCCTACAGGGTGAAGAAATCCTGATTTTCTCTATCATCGAAGAAGCCACCTGTTCAGCACCCCCATCCTTCTTCCTCTTCCAGAGTTGTCTTCCCGGAGCCAAAAAGTTTCTGCATCTCTGGGTTGCAGGTCTGAGCATTTGTTCCTGAATGGCTTGGTGATTTTGACTCTTGTCAGGCAAATCTGCACACAGCCACTTCCACCCATAGATCACGTCTATGCCTGCATCTCTTACAGGAGCATTTTGAACTTTCTCTAGATAATGGACCTCTTTGAGAAACTGAAATGCTAGATCATCTTCTCCTTTCCCTCCACCCACAAAAAGCACAAGCTTGTGTTGTGCATTGCACACAGTTTCTCTCCCTCTCTCTCTTTCAAAGTTCTGCATGAAACTTCAGGGTCTCCTCAGACTCCTGCAGTCCACCAGGGAACACAGGTTAGTAACCCTTGTTCTAGAAAACCAGACTTTC